TCAATGAGGAATGTTTAAAAATTGAAGATACCATCATCTACAAGTCTTGATCAAAAATTTCATGTTGTCATTTCAAATATCAAATCTAATTAAAAAAAATGGATGATGGTTGGTAGCCGATCACACTGGTATTTAGTTTCTACTGAATGCATTAAAATGAGGGTTGTGACCATTTTTTTTTAAATGTCAAAATTTGAAATACATCAGAAATGACATCTTTTGCATATACTCAAACTTATAATAAATAATTTTATATGTCAACCATGTGTGAGGGTAAATACTGTACAATTCCATTTATATAATATTGTGTGACAGGAAAAACTAATCTATAGTAAAAAAAAAATCAAAACAGTAGTTTTCTTTAGGAGAGGTGGGGTCATGGATTGACTGGGAAAAGGTACAAGGGAACTTTTCAGTGGTGATAGTAATGTCCTATACCTTAATAGGGTTTGGAGTTAGAAAGGCAAAAGTATTTGTCAAAAATCATCAAAGGGTATGCTTAAAATGTGAACATTTCATTCAGATAAATTTTATCTAAAAAAAGAAAGACTATAAGCAAATATTTGAACTCTAGTTACTGTTATTCATTCTGAAGAGTTTAGGGGTAAAATGTATTGTCTAAAATTCATCTGGAAATGCATAAAAAATAAGATAGGCTGACAAATGGACAGATGAAGAGGTAAGTAATGTAACTAAAGTAAAAAAAATTTTTTTAAGTTCAAACGTTTTTATTAATTCAAACTATTTGTTGTAGTTCCAAAAAACTATGATTTTCACAATAAGGGCTACTTGAAGAAGGCTTTCTATATTCTTTGACGTAAACAGACATTTGCTAAACGGAGATGACAGTTGGTGTGAATTTTAAAATTTTAAATGCAGCTTATTTCTTAAATTAGAATAATATCTGCAATAATACAAACTGAAGATTGAATCTGATAAAGTGTAATATTAAATCTGAATTGTTATGAGTAAAAATGCTGGTATATTACATTTTTGGGTGTACTATGTTACTAAAATGCCTTAAGGGTAATTTGAGGATGCAGATGGAATTATACGACTTTTAATAAGCTGGAAATAAGTTACGTATGGGTGTGCCTGACTGACATGTGCCTTACCGACAGTATGTCACAAAAATAGAAATATACAAAAATGTTATACATCGCTAGATATTGATTCTTGTAAATCATGATAAAATTTCTGATTGGAATATTTTTTATAACATCTTTATTGGAGTATAATTGCTTTACAATGGTCTGTTAGTTTCTGCTGTATAACAAAGCGAATCAGCTATAGTAGAATCTAGGTGGCGAGTATATGGTGTTCACTGCTCAATTCTTTCAACTTTTTTGTATGCCTGAAAATATTCATAATAAAATATTGGGGGAAATGCGCAAGGGAGAATATATTTTTTCATAATTCTTTTAGGGAACATGTGAGCAAAAGTTTGGAGACCACTTGTTTCTATTATCAACATTTGCTTATGAATCTTTAACTTAAACTTACAGTCCAAACCTCTCTCCAGAATCTCAACCATATTTCCGTTTGTCCCCTGGACACATTATCTGGATTTCCCATCACATTTAAAACTCAACAGATCTAAACATGAATTTATTGTCTTCACATGTCAGTTAAAATATCATCAGCTAAAAGTAACAGAATATAAGTGTCAAACAAAATGAGGGTTATTTTTCCTACATAACAAGAAACCTGGAGATAGGTGCCTGCTGGTGTTGGTTCAGCAGTTCAATGATATCCTGGCTGGCAGGTCTGCAATTCTCTTGGCCTTTCCTCATAGTCACAAAATGTTCTACAGCTCTAGGCATCATGCCTGAGTTCAAGACAGGAAAAAAGGGAAGGAAGCAATGCCAGTGACAATTGAATCTTTTTTTTTTAAATAAATAAATTTATTTATTTATTATTTTTGGCTGCGTTGGGTCTTCATTGCTGCACACAGGCTTTCTCTAGTCGTGGCGAGCAGGGTCCACCCTTCATTGCAGTGCATGGGCTTCTCATTGCGGTGGTTTTTCTTGTTGTGGAGCACGGGCTCTAGGCTCACGGACTTTAGTGGCTGTGGCGCGTGGGCTCAGTAGTTGTAGCTCGCGGGTTCTAGAGCGCAGGCTCAGTAGTTGTGGCACACAGGCTTAGTTGCTCTGCAGCATGTGGGATCTTCCTGGACGAGTGCTCAAACCTGTGTCCCCTGCATTGGCAGGCAGATTCTTAACCACTGCACCACCAGGGAAGTCCCACAACTGAACCATTTACCAAGACAATTTCAGGTTTTCCAGAAACCTCCCAAAAGACTTCCACATAAATCCCATTAATCAGAACTGTGTCCTACTACCACCCCTACCTGCAAAGGATACCAGGAAGCAAGTACTTAACCTTCTTATCCTCTAAATTGGACATAGGATTGGGTGACAGGTGAGCCCACCTACAGTATCTGTAACATTCTCCCCAAAACCTGCTCCATCGTCTATAAGCTCTATCTGTGTTAATGGTTCCATGATCTGCCTAGTTACTCACCCAAGTAAGAAACCCAGGAGTCATCCTTTCCTCTCTTTCCCCTCCTATCCCTATATCCAATCTGTCTTGATCTTTCATCAAGCTTTTGAATACCTCTGAAATCTGAGCCTCCTTCCTAAACCCATTGCCACTGTCTTGGTTCAGGTTCTCATTTCTTACCTCAACTGCAATAGTAGTCTCTTAATTAGTCTCAAGCCTTAACTTCAAAGCATCCTCCATGCAGCCCCAATTTGACTAAAAATAGAAATCTAACCATCTTACGCCCTGCTTTAGCTCCTGTCTCTGGCTTTGCATAATGTCTAGTTTAAAGGCTAACTTCCTTATTTAATTTAATGTAGTCTCCTACTTTCATATAATGATGTACTCTTGAACACGTGTTATCAGTTAGGATGTCCTAGTCCTGTCAAGGGTCAGCTCCCCTAAGACACAGCTTTGTGGGAGGGTGGGTGGCTGGGGAAGTCTACACTCAAAATCTATATCTGTTACGTTAGGCAGGCAACCCTCTGTCTCTAATGCATGTGTGCTAAAATTGTAGTGTGAAAGAATAATAGATTTATAATAGGGGTTCTCTTCCCAGAGGGTCGAGAATGTATTTTGTCTTAGAGACATAAAGTTCAACAATATATTTAAAGTATCATAGCATTGTTGTTCATTTAGTTCAGAGATTTACTGAACGCCTACCATGTACGAGACACTATTCTTTAGTTCTTTTCTCTTTTGATAGATCAGAGAGGACAATAAGTGTTTGACTGAAACTAAAGATGTGCCTCTTTCTGCATTCCTAATGACTTCCATCTCTGCCTCTATTTCACTATTTGGGGCTTATACTTATTACCAGAATCCACACATTCATTTTTCTGTCTTCTCTTCATTTTCATAAGTTAAAGTTCATGAGATATTCAAACAAGTGTCCAAAGACACAGATGGTAAAGACGGCAACATGGTAGAAACTGACTGGTAGAGTACAACACAGTAATAGCTAACCCTTATATTGTACTTACTTACTCTGTGCCAGACACTGTTAACTCATTAACCTGCACAACTCCACGAGGTATGTACTAGTATCTCCATGTTGCAGATGAGGAAACTGAGGCCCCAGGACAGCTTGGCACTTTTGTGAGCTGACTGAAAGCTGTGCCCTAGCACCTTCTCCACTCACCTCCCTCTGCTCCACTTGGGCTGCTCCCCTTCTCACAGGCCCCCCAGGAGCCCCTGGCTTCTCCAGCCCTGTGCTTTGGCACCTGCGGCCCCGTCTGCTCTTCCCTTCTGCTCAGACTCGTTCAGGACTCGCTCAGGCCCACTGTCCTCAGCAAAGCCTTCCCTGCCCAGTGCCAAGAGGGCAGGCGGTGCTTACCAGAACCTTGCCCCACATCCTCACCTTGCTATAATTTGCTCATAGATCTGTCTCTACCACCAGAGCCAGTTGCAGCAGGCCTGGCTGTCTCCTCGTTCGTTGTCGAGTCCCTGGGGCTTGCTACTATTCCTGGCCTATAACGGGCACTTAAAGTTTTACTGAATTAATGCATAGGCTCCCTGGATTTTACACTTTCTTGTCGCCCCCGTACTGCCTGGCACCACATGTTGCAGACACTTAGTCATTCGGAGTGGGAGCCTGGTTTCCCCACCAGACCCCTAACTTAATAAAATAAAGCGAAACAAAACCTTCCCCCCTTTGCTCCCATTTCCACATCACAATAATCCCCGAGGATTTGGATTCCTTTCCAAGCTCTCCCATCAGTCGAATACAGCAGGACCCGGAGTGTCTGACTCCCCTCCAATGGCCAGGCCGAGCAGGATGGGTCGCAGTCTTCTGGGCGCAGGGAAGCCGCATCCCACGCCTTCTTCTCCCAGTTCTTGCCTATTAAGGTAAGAGTTGGAGTCGCGCGGAAGGGGCCGAGGGAGGGTCCCCTAGAAGCTGCTTCCGCGGCCTGTGCGCTCGCAAGGCGCTGGGGAATCACAACCTGGGACCGGGTGCCCCGGGCCGGGTGTCCCGCGACGGGTACTGCCAGCTTCTGGGCGGCTTTGGGTCCTACTTATCTCTTCTACCCGAGGCCATCTTCCTAGTTTCCATAGCCACCAGGGCCGTGTCCTTATTCTCAACCATCACCGCAGGCCTCAAATGAGTCTCTGCACAGAACTCTGATTAAATGAGTCTCGGGTCCCCAGTGGACGCTCCTTCCTCGCAGATGCTCCGATAACCACCGCGAGAGGGGTGCCTGCGGGGCGCGTCGCCCGGCCTGGGGAGGGAAGGAGGCGGCCTCTCGTTCCGGAGGTGAGCGGGGTACCTGCTCCTTCTGGCCGCTCGACCCCCACCCAGCGGCGCTCCCACCCATCGCCAGCCTCTTGGCTCGGGGTCCTCCCCGGCCCTCTCTCACCCTGTGCCGGCTCCAGCCCCGCCCCCCCGCCCCGCAGGCCCCGCCCCCCGCAGGCCCCGCCCAAGGCCCCTCGCGCTCCGCCCCCTCCCCGCCGGCTCCCGGCGCTGCCGGAGCTCCGAGCCCGGGCCTGGGGACTCGGGATCCCGCCGCCGGGGTCGCAGCATGGGGCGCTTCGGCGGGGCCCTGCGGTGCATCAAGTACCTGCTGCTCGGCTTCAACCTGCTCTTCTGGGTGAGACCCGGAGCGGAGAGGGCCGGGCAGGGGAGGGGGCTGGGCGGGGACGCAGGGCAGGGGTCCCCGGGGAGCTGACCGCTGCGGCGTCCTAGCCGGGCTCCTGAAGGCAGGGTGTTCAAAAAGACGGAGGTAAGAAAAAGGCAGACAAAGCGGGCGGGGTGGGGAGGTGGGGAGGGAGGGAAAGATGGAGGGGGAGAGAACCGACAGAGAGAGAGATTGAGCAATGAGAAATGGTGAAAAGGGGGGAGACCCCGTGCGGCTCTTCCCTTTGAGGAACCTCTCTGCCTCGGTTTTCATCTGGAGTCTGGTAACACCAGGTGCGGGGCCACCAGCTTCTCTGCGCACACACCCCCTTCTCGCTCTGTCTTTCCGCTGGAGCAGGGGCCCGCCAGGGCACCGGGACTGCCAGAGGTGGTGCCCCATCCGGAGTGTGCAGAGACATCACCTGGCTGTGGCGGGCTTGTGTAGGAAATTGGGGGTAGCAGTGGAAGTGGTGTTGGTGGGGGTTCAGCCTTTTTCTGGGCGTTAGGGGAGGGTACCGCTGGATGGAAGGAGGCGGTGGTGCTCTTGTGTGAGGGAATGGGCGGAAGGGAGGGGCTTCCAAGGGGCAGCAGCACCTCCCCACAAACCCCAGCTCAAAGCCTTTGCTAAATCCTACTGCTCCCAGAGATGATCTCATTCAACTTTGCATTGAATGAACAACATTCCCAGGATTAGTGGTTCACCGGCTGATAGGGCCATGACCCTTGTCTCCTGTATTACTGGGACAAGATTAGGGCTAGACAATCCCTAGATTCCTGGATATTCTGCCTCAGGCCCTGAAGGACTGAGAGACAAGGTCTGAAAATTGTCTTGTCTGCACATTTCCTCTTGGGCTTCCTCAAGGGAATGTCAGTCACTGTAACTGCTCAGACAGACGCTGAAGGAAAATACAGATCTTGCATTGGGTGAAGAAGTATCTTAGAGCTGGGAGGGAGCAGCAAGGGGGCTGGGTGCTTTAAAATAACTAGGATAAAGGAGGTTGCTGTTTGTCTTATCTGCTCTGGGGAGTTTGTTTTCCCGTGACTCCAACTAATTAATTATTGAAGGATGGTCCCTGCTTGTGTCTGCCAACCCATTAGCCCAGATGCCTGGGTGACTCCAGCAATTCCAAGCTCTCAGAGGTCAAGTTGCCATCCTCAGCATCCTGCAGCAGGGGAAGGTGTGAAGGAGGTACCCCATAGACAGCCCTGAATTTTAAAAATACACATGGCTTTTGTACACTTGGGCATTTACATCCAGCATACTATCGGGAAGGGCATTTCTAAAGGCCCTTTATGTTGTGCTTTTTAATAGTCTGGCTTAATTTCAAAAGCTGTTAATTATAAATGTCATGCTTTAGTGACACTCTTCACTCTTACTGCTTACAAATTCAAAAGAGCTTTTATCGAAGTCTGAGAAGGAATTCTTAGGCTGGGTACAGTGCTTATTTAGTGCCTGATGCTGTGCCAGCCTGTCCAGAGATAATAGGCAACATTTATTGAGCATTTTCAGTGTGTCAGGGACAGTGCTATGCACACTGCATTCATTATTAACTTAACCCTCACAACAATCCTGAGGTGCATCCTATTATTATCCCCATTCTTACAAATAAGGAAAAACTGAGGCTCAAATAGGTCCACTTGCCCAAGGTCACACAGCTAATGAGTGGCAGAGGTGGGACTCAGACTCAGCCTTCATGCTCCTAAGCACTGTGGTACACGTAGTTAACCAGTGGTTCTCAAAGTGTGAGTCCTGGGCCAGTAGCATCAGCACCTCCTGGGAACTTGTCAGAGACGCACATTCTCAGCCCCATCACAGGCCTGCTGAATCAGAAATTCTGGAGGAGGGACCCAGCAATCTATTTAAACAAGTCCAGGAAATGCTTATGCTTGCTCAAGTTTGAGAACCACTCTGTTAAAGAATCAATGCACAAGAACTGTAAAAATAACTCATATATGTAAATATAAATAAATATACATAATTTATATTGACAAAAGTATATATATATAATTTATAAATTAAAAATACTGTTCCCTAAGCTGCTAATCTAGTTGAGGAAATGACCAATGAATATAGAACAACAACAAACAAAAAAAACGACAGCATATAATCAAGTGACAAATTTCACACCTCTGACTCTAAACACAGGAAGGAAGGGAAGTAGGAACAAAGCAATGTTAGAGTACCTATCATGTATTAGCCACTGGGGTTAGGCATGACCTTTTATATATCCGACCTAATTAAGGAGTTCCCAGCAATAGTGAGGAGTTGGGACAGTTGTCCCGGGGACGTTTAAGCTGAAGCTTGAAGGACTGGTAGGATGGAGGTGGACAAGGGTGAGGGGGGTGACACACCACCCACGGGCAGAGGAACAGAGCAAGGGTGAGTGTGACCACCAGCTGACAAAAGGATCAGGCTCAAGTGCAGAGATCGCAAGCAGAGCGTGCTTGAGCAAGTCATCTTTACTTCTAGCCCTGTTTTCTCAGCTGAACAATTGAGGTAAAAGAGTTGTTGAGAGGATTCAAAGGAAATAGGTAAAGTATCTGACTTCACCTTCCTGTGAGCCCAATATGTAGTAAGTGCTCAAATTTTTAAAATTATTACTTTTATTATTAAGTGCCTGGCACATAGAAAGCATTTAATAAAAGTTAGCGCTCTTTCCCCAGAGTCCCTTAATATCGGGGAATAGTGTATATCTTTGCCAAGTAACTTACAGCTTGTCTTTGCTTTAGGATAACTACACACTGGCTTCTCAGTTTGTACTTGTGGATTTTCCCCACTGGGACTTAGAATATTCTGAGAGCAGGAATCTTTTTCCGTCTTGTTCATGGATATATCTCCAGCGCCTAATAGTACCCAGCTTATAGAAGGCATTCCATGAACATCTGTAGAAAGAATTGATGAATCTGCAGGTTAGGAACTGGATACAAATGGCCTTCCCGATTTGCAAAGGTAATCAACTGTCAACTTTATCTGGAGGACTGAGCCTGTCTCTTCCTGCTCATTCCCTGTCGGTTTGTTCTTTGTACAGATTGGGCCCAGGAGGAGAATATGGGGCCTTCCTCACTGTCAGTTCCGTGGGGAATGGGGACCAGGGACCAGCAGCAGTCACAGACAGCTCTCCCATGTCTATAACTGTACAGCCAAAGGGAAAGGGGCGACCTGAAGCGGGCTCCTAATGATTTAGAGGAAAGCGATTGTTTGGGATAAATTGTCTAGATGTGTACCTTCACTGTAACTGAGGGAACCTGATTCCAGGAAAGCCCCACCCTAGTTTTGGAAGTTGTTTTTTTTCCTGGTTAGAGGGTTTGTGGGAAGTTTGGGGAAGGGGGAGAGGGCAGGGGACAGTTTTCCTGGAAGGACAGGCGTTCGCCATGACTTCAGGCGTTCTATTTACACACTCTTAGATGCTTGCGTGCCTGTCCTTCTGAGGTCTGGGGTCCCCCTGGGTGACAGCACTTCCTTTCCTGTCAGGAACTCACCAGAAGGCAGACGCAGAGGCTGGGTGGGGTATGTTTTGTGATCTGCAAATCGATTCGCAACCTCCTTCTGGCAGCTGGGTGAAGTTTCCCTAGGCTGTGCTCCTGGTTTTATAAACATTCAGCTAGAGCCTGCCAGAGCCAGCAGAGCACTCCCCGGCCCAGGGCTGCTGACTGTGCTCACCATTGAATTTTAACAAAACAAAAGTAAAGCCTGGCCCCAAGCACCACTAAATTAATTTCTCTTATCATGGCTGATGTCTAACATGAAACCCCTCCCAGTATCTGTCATGTCTAAATTCGGACATTACAGTCAGATAGCATGGCATGGTCCCATGCCTTTCACTGCGATCACCTTTTTTTTTTTTCCCCTCCGTTGCATAGTGATATAAATAAAACACCACAACCTACCAAGCCACGTGTGTTGGTTTAAAGAAAAAAGAAAAAAACCTGGGCTCTGTTTATTCCTTGGTTTGTTGTTGTGTACTCGGCGTTTTCCCATCGTTGTGCTGTGTGAGCTGCTCAGGGTCGCCGACCAACAGGAAGCAGGACCGTTCATTGTTGAGAGTCAGATGCCATATATGGCTTGTTTGAAGTTGCTCTCCTTTCCTTCTCACTGTTATTAATGCAGCTCTGGAGTTTCACTTGGTGATGCCTAACAGGTGCTTTTAGGAAAGACCGTGTCTCGTGGGCTTACGAGATGTCTGACTTGTCTACTCCTCTTTCCCAAATTCATTTCAAACTGTAGCTCCAGAGCTACCACCTGTCAGAAAGACTTGTTTAAAAAAATACCTGAAGAAAGTATTCTATGGGGTCCACCCAAAAGCTAGACCACCCCAGAAGGCAGATAGGAATTTCCTTGGCCCTGTCGTTGGATAGTCTCCATTTCTGATTTCCGTCAAGGTGGGGAGAGAGTGGCAGCCTCCCCTATTTTGGATAAGAGGGGCCCAGTGGTGCTGGGAGGGGCAGGACTCTATGATAGGAGCCAGCCTGCAGAAGCCAGAGCTATGGTTCCAGGAGTCTGGTAGACCTCGGCCAGGTCTAGGCAGCGTGGCAATTCATATCCACGAATTCAAAGCCTGGAAGGTGGATACTGGCATCTCACTTCCTGGGTTTATTCCTGGCCATAGTATTTACTAACCAGGGGTGCTTGGTTAGTAAGCTGTTTAACCTCTTCGAGCCTCCATTTTCTCATCTATATAATGGACATAATCAAGTATCAACATCAGTGTATGACCTTGGTGCAGATAAAAGAGTAAATATATGTAGAGTATTAAGTATGGTACATGAGATAGTAAATATTCAGTAACATAGATGTATATTACTGGTAGTCATATTTAAACACTAGAAAACAAGTGGGAAAGTGGAATCTAGAATCCAAGAGATTCATAAAGGTAAGGAGAAGTAGGAAACAGGTGTCCTAAGTCCAACCAACCAAGCAAAGTGGCAAGAGTCTTGTAGCTTATCAAAGGCCTGAAGTCAAAAGGAGAGGTTCTT